GCACTGCGGTGGGCAATTGAGAACATGCTTCAACATTCGCCATGTCAGAGCTTTGGGACGGATTGTAAGGAATTGATAACGATGCTCAGGAACCCTCATGATTGGCCTAGCTTCTCAACGGAATTGGAGAGACTCTTGACGCTGCGTGTTTGCTTTCCGGATTTTAAGTTATTCTATGTACCGCGGTCTCAAAACACTGTGGCTGATTCGTTAGCTAAGGCTGCTCGTTCTTTTTACCGTACTTTGTTGTTTGTTGGTTGTTCTATTCCGGTCTGGATTCCCAGACCACCTCAGGTTCTTTGAGTAATCGATCAGCCGTTTGATGTCAAAAAAAAAAAAAAAAAAAAAAAAAAAGTGCTCTCCTTGGTATAACGAAAACCCAGCGTTTGAAGGGGATAAGTTTCTTAATATCGTTTTCACTGCTGTCGATCTGTGAGACTCGACTCATGTTCTCCTTTGAAATCTCTTGAACTCCCTAATCGATCAACCAACCCCCTTGATTTCCTCCTCGCATCTCTTCACTTCTCCAATCTTTATAATTCCCATTAAAGCTTCAGCCGATGTCAACCTCTTCAGCTCCTCCATGTAAAGTCTATAAATTAGCAAATGATTGGGAGGCTTTTGCATCTTGAAAACCACTCCTCTTCTATCAAGTCAAGAAAGTTCACTAAACATCTTCGACAATGTCTTCCTCTGATGTTGTCGTTTTGCACAATGCCTTCGATGCTCTCCAGATCGGTTGCCCTTTCCAGTTTGTCGTGGCTAGGGTTCTGCGTTTTTGGGACTCCAAAAACATCAAGAAGCAAGGTGAGTTTATGGGGATCACACTTCTTCTGCTTGATGAAAAGGTATTGCGAACAAGTGTCAACGCCTAAATTTTGTGTAGTTAGTGGAACGAATCTGATCTCATAGGTTATTTATTTTCCTCTAAGAATCCTTGATTTAAGCTCAAAAAAAAATCTTTGCAGGACTCTGTGAGTCATGGGTTCATCCCTGCTGGTCGGGCCAGTTTCTACCGGCCATCCTTGCTTAAAGGTTCTGTTGTGAAGGTTTCAAGGTTGCAGGAGTTGCAATGGTTTCGCTGACTGAGTTATCATTAAACTGGCTTAGATTAATCAGCGCAATGATATCAAACCTTTCTTTCACTTAATGTAGCATCTTCTCCAAGAAAGTCATACTTCTGATTCTCTTCTTCACACTCCTTATTATAAGTCTCTCATGTTTCCATGTTGAAATTATTATTGTGTTTGTTTTTTGCAGACTGATATGGACAGTACAAATGTCTACGCTTATATCTCCATCATCGTCTGCATTCCTCCTGCCATCATCGTAAAGTCTTTTGAATCCAGTCAATTTTTTTTTATAATCAATTACGTGTAACTCCAGCAGCTGATTTATTAGGGTTATTGGTTTACCTTGTGGTTAGGTTGAAGGGCCTCAGCTGTTGAAACATGGTTTCGGCGACGCGATTGCAAAAGTGGAAATGACTAAATTTATATGATTATGATGTGTGAGTAATATATGACATAGAAATAAAAGTTTTATTGTAGATTCACATGGTGTCCAGGCCAATAAAGCTAGAATGGAAGGTGATATCCAGGTCAGTATTACTGTTCTATCAATAGACATATTCTTTATAATCTCAACGTAAACAATGTTTTGTGGTAATGAATAGAAAAATGGAATCAGGTTTGGGCAGGACCATTGTCAGGTTACAGAGTCGCCTTGCTTCTGTTGAACGGTGGACCGATATGATCTGCAGTTACTGCTTTTTGGGATGATATTGTGATCCCTGCAAATAGCATTGTTTAAGTCAGAGATCTATGGGCGGTAATACACATACATACTAACATAAAACCAAACACCATTAAACTTTAAATGTTTTTGTTTCTGTTGAATACGTTTTGTTGTGATATGAGAATAGCAGAAGACATTGAAGCAAAAGTTTGTAGGGAACTTGACGGCAACAGTGGATTCTCATGCGTGCAAGTTGTATGTTCTCAAACATGTTGCTTGATGTAATATCCAATTATTATGTCAAAACAATAAGAGTTTGTATCAATAAAGTGTTCGACGTTTGCTCCAATTGCGAAAATGTATTCAACGTTAAATTATTAAACGAAATATGTATATGTATAGTGATGAACTCATTGTTATTTTTTTGTTTGGTGTAAGACACAAGTCAAATTAAATATGTGTTGGTTCACTTGAGGGAGACTCAATCATTTCAATGACTTAAAGTCTTAAAAGTCTTTTACAGAGTATACTCTTTCTACCTGTCTGGATTTATATACGTTCTTTATCTAACTAAATCATGTTTTAGTGATTTCAATTAATAGATAAAAATTAGTAGTGTGGAAGCACCGTATCCTAGTGGTTAAGGTTTAAAGGCTTCTACACCAGGTCTGGGGTTCAAATCCCAGGCTATGCAGTTTCTACACCAGGAGGGTTTCAATTCCCGGAGAAGGTGAATGGCGAATTATGCACAGATTGGAGAAAAACTTACAAGAGATCTTCAGCATGGCGCAAGGCATACCGTCAGGAATGGATCTCACAGGATGGCTCAGGGTGATGCAGTTAGACGTGAATCCGCATAAGGCAGGTAGAATTGTCGGCTGTAATATCGTCTTTATAATTTCTCATAGTTTGTAATGCATAATTATCCAGTGTTAAAAAAAAAGATAAAATTTAGTAAGATTACTATCTATTTATTAACCAAAAATATATCTACTTGAAGTCTAGGAAAAATATGTGTCACCCACGAAGGATGGCGTCAATAAGGCAAATCCGTCTATTGCTCAGTCCCCTCTTTACCTCACATTTCAAACTACGTTTGATCCACCACAACACAAGTCATATGGTTTTGCATTCATCAACAATACATGAAATTTTATTTTAAAACTACAACAACACAAGCATATGTCAACAGCTCGCTGCTCCACGCTTGCGTTTTATTTTATCATTACGTTAAGCCATAAAGCTATACCAATTTATATTTTTGGTCCATCTTTCAAAAAAAATTACCAGTCTCAAAACAATCGAAACACAATCCAGTAAAAAAAAAAGTAATATAACTATATTATAGTTACCACTTTAAAAGAAACAGTTTAATACAATTCGATTTTTCCTAAATTAGTTACAGTTATAATAAGGGAAGTAATTTATTTACTGTACATATAAACTGTTAAATTTGAAATCAAAATCTTTTTTCTTACACTATTTGAGTTGTATACCAACAAATACCTAAGATCGGTGACTTTTCAACAAAGTTATCACTAATAACGTTAATGGTCAGTTAAATCATTCCAAAAATAAGATATATAAATATCTCTACATATGAATTCACTGGTCCTTCTTATATTAATCTAATTAAGCTATGTAATTTCCATTCTTTTATTCATAGAAAATTATAGCAACATGGGAACACAAAATTTTAAAAACCTTGCGATAAAATTCCAAGACCAAAATAATACAATACATCAATAATATATCTGTCCCGCGCTTGCGCGGGGCTATGCCCCTAGTCAATCCAAACGCAATAGTTTGTAATGTATATACCTTACTGAAAGAAGAATCGTATCCATAATGCATAATGCTTCAGGCGTCGACTTGCATCTCCCTTCTAGCCTAACCTTTTTGTCTCTCACATGTGGTAGAAGACACCAAGCCCACTCAGTAGGTATTCTACCAATCTGCATATAGATATGAAAAGTCAACATAACAAACTAAAAGTGTGAAAGTTGGCCTTCCCCGTCCAAAGTGCTTTGTAGTTTAAGAGTATTATGCTTACAACTTACTACTTGGAAACGTGGATCAGCCCACGAACCACCACTCATTCTTTGGAACATTCGCATCTTCCTCCACTCGATGATTCCATCTTTCTGAGCTGGGCTTAGATTTTAGAAAAGTAAAAAGGGGCACAAAATCTGATGCAGTTGATAGACAAATCTTAATCCTTTTCAGGACCAGTATTTTTCAAAACTTAAGAGGCGAAAGTATTTATTCTACGTTCAATACATTCGAAGTTCATAAATTATTTTATTTATACATATACCATTTGAATACTGATATTCGATTATGTTTGCCTCCTCTTCCATCTCTCATCTCAGGTTACAGAAATAAACAGGAAAAAAAAACAATCTTTAGAGAAAAAAACAAGATATCAACTGGTTTTGACCCAAATTGGATGTAATATAAAAGAAAGTACCTTTGTGTTTCCTAATGACTAAGTAACAATGCAGTTTTATATGCAGCTGGTTCATCCCGTAAGAGATACAGAAACCTCTGAAACAGACATTAAAAGAATAATCGGTCAACTGAAAAAGGGTTTATACTCGGAAGAATGAATTTATTATACTCATGAGTCTATAAACTAAGACATTTGGAAATTGTTTATAGGGGTTAGTCAAAATCTTTGGCCAAACGATATACACTTCTAACTGTGGAAATATGTGTGTTCCATTGTCAAGCAATGAGCGAAAGAATGACAATTAAATATCAAGCAAACAGTGTCGACATACCTTACTGTTGTTATGAAATTTTGTATTAAGATCTATTTACATCTGCTGGGTTGCATCTTTGGAGCCGCTGAAATCCAAGATGCATAGAGATGAACACAAATAATAGATTAATAATGTAAATCTGAAGGGATAAATTAGAATCGAGAGATGAACTGAGGTGAGGATAGAAATCTTTAGCACCATAACAGATAATGGTCGAAGAATCAAAGCCCAACACAGCTGTCACGTCGCCGGCGGCGCCATTTCTCTTGCTTCATTGCTTGAACTATCGTCACCCAATATTTATTTAATTGTCTAAGTATTTTTGAGTACTCAATTAACTGAAGAGAAAGACAAACAATCAACAGTTATAATCAAGCAATAAACATTACATAGAGAGAGAGGGAGAGCAAACAAACGATTTGTGTTAAAGAGAACGGATGATGTGGATCGAAATTCACCAGGAAAAAGTAATTAAGTTAAACTGACATGGAAAATATATTAAAGCTGATAGGCTGAATTTCCAGACTGACGTGGACAGCTTAAAAACTCACCATATTCCTCTTTTCTTATTGTTAGATTCATACCTATGAGATAGTTTTGGTCCGTGTGGTTCATGTGAGGGATTGCATGGATGTTCTTGAAGTCCATGAAAAGCCGATTTTTCCGAGGATCGATGATGTGGACTTGCGAACAGAGTGTAGCATTTAGATAGAACCGAGAGTTAGTTTCCTGGTAACCTGAAAGGGAACAGTTAACTTCTACCCGGAAGATTTTCATCCATTTTCCCTCTTGCTTCTCTAGTCCTCTAAACCTATCATAATCCCCATAAATGGTCATCTCCATTTTGGTTCCCTACATAAAAAAATTACAAGGATCAAGTTTTTATTTTTCACGGTTACATGTTATTAGAAACTTCAGAGATGATGATTTAACACGTACCTCTTTATCTACTAGGACATAGGTATAGAAAGGTCCACTGCTGGTAAGATAGAAATAGAAAGGGTAGATATTGTGTATTTTGACTCTGAAACGCCAAGCCGTGATCTTGGGGTTATAACAAACTTCAGAAAGCTTATTGCAGTGTGTCATCTTGTTTGTTGAGAGAGGAGATGATGAATCCTTTCTTTGCTTTTCTTTTTTGGTGAACTTTTGCAGAGAAATATTAAATTACTGTGGTGGAGTTTAAAGGGGTCGAGTTTAAATGCAATGGTGATGATGATTGGGGATTGTAGACGGTGTAGTGTTGAGGGTGGCGTTTAAATGTAAGTGTAATGATTATTATAAGAGACTTTTTCATGAGAGACGTCGTGTTCTTTTGCGGAGTTCATCAAATCACCCATAAATAGAGGAGCTACAAAATGGAAGTTGGGGTAATAAATCATTAATCCTATACTGGTAATTTTGGTCATTAAATGTATCTACTAAAGTATGTTTTACATAGTTTCAAATATTTATACCATCTAAATTGTTATGTTTCCTTAGTTTCATAAATTTAGACAATCTAATCCACTTAATTTCACTTAGTTTCGCGACAATCTAATTCACTTAGTTTCAAGAGATGTCACTGTTGCAGTCAGAAGGCGTGTGAGAGAAATTGTGCTTTCTCGGGGAGTCAATCAAATGAATACCCTATCAAATCACCCTTAAATAGAAACGCCACTGCTTCAATCATTAATTACAATAATTTTCTCAAACTAAATATTACCATTTTCATTTATAATCTCCTTCACTGCATCAATCATTAATTACATGATTTTTGTCAAACTAAATATTACCATTTTAATTTAGAGAATCTAATTTTCTTAACATTTTACATAGTTTCATTTATTTATACAATCTAAATTTTTTAAATTGTGCTTAGTTTCACAAATTTAGACAATCCAAATCACTTATTTTCACTTACTTATACGTAGTTATATATCTTTATCGATTGAGTTTTTCAAAGTTTCAAATCCAACCCATGCGCCTGTTGTTGCACTGAGAAGTCGTGTCTTCTGAACTCGTATGTCTTGAGGCGTATATCAAATCACCCTTAAGTGGGGTAATAAATACTCAGTTTATATTTATATCTTCACGTCAGTTGAATTTTCTTCACATCAGTTGAAGTTTATACTTATCTTTCCATTTACTCGATTAAACAAATATCTCTCTGTGTCAAACTTTAACTTGACTTCTCTCCCTTCTTCCATGCTTCATAAGATTCTCTTAAAGCTAGCAAATAGCCATCTCCGGGATTTCTCCGGGTTCAATCAAATTGGTAGAGAATAATACTTCTACCGATCTGTAGATCTCTTTAACTTGAATTAATGGATTGATGAGGCTAATGCGGTTAGGACATTCAGGCTTAGGTGCTATAAATACGGTAATGTAGAGGCCATCTACATGCGAGATATGTATGATTTTTTCGGCCTCCATTTACTTGCTGGTGAGAGAGGATTGTTGTTGGCCAAGTATGTAGATGAAATGCTGAAATTAGCTTTTAGTATTGATGATAGAGGATTGGTTCACAACTATACTAGCTTTAGTCGTGAATTTGTTGATCAGATGAATTACATGATCACGACTTCGGTAATCTCAGACCATTAGGATTACGAAAAACCTGAGGTGTTTATGTCTCTACAGGAAAGAATAGATCCCAACGTCTCACATAATTGTTGGTGCTCTGCAGTAATAGAACCGGTGTTTGTAGTCTCCTTAGATGGATCTAGAACACAGTGGAGATGCGATCGTTGTTTCTGGCAGTGTGCAGCTTGGGACTTCTGCAATGATATTCACTTGACCGCTGTCCACCGGCCATATGAAGATTAGTTGTGTGTTTATGAGTTATGGTTATCTACTTTTACTAAGTTTATGTAAAATACATTTTATATAATATAATGCGTCTAGTTTTTCTCTATAAAGTAATCTTTATTTTATTTTAACTTCAGTAAATATATCATTAACAACACTCTCCATAAACGAACATAATGCAAATGTAAAAGATACAATCAAAACTGGTCAAACTTTGCAAATCAAAAAGTGCGACTTAGTTCAGTTTCGAATAAATTTGTAATTGATACAGTCTATATTAGTCGAAGTTTTATACGCTGTACACTTACACCAAGATTGACAATTACATCAAGTCGTAAAAAGTTTCTGGAAGTTATGAAGAAAGAGATCCGAATTTTATGGATCGGGTCGGCATGGTCCGCGAAATGATCTTGGTTGGGTTGTAATTATGCAAATTTCTGTTGGTTCCATGGTCTTTTAATAATTTTCCGGATTTAATTGAAAACTAGACCATGACCCGCACATCTGCGATGGTTTTATTAATTGGATGTATTCTATATAATTTAGTTTTATAGAGTTTCGAGTTTGTCCAATTTGATTTTATGTTTAAAGAATAATATCAAAAATGTCGTTTGCATTATCAGCGTCAATCAGTGTATTGTGTAGATATAACCGTGAAGTGGAGTCACTTCTAGATGTATATTAAAATAATATACAAATTTCTAGAATTTTTAGCTTTAAACTTTATTTTATAGGTTATGTCAATTCAAACTTAACTTTGGTTTTAACTTTGCAATTGCGGAATATCATATGATGAGAATTTTCATAAATAACTTAACAAATATTTTGGTAATTTAAAATCATTTATGTACTTAAAATATTTTTCATTTAAATTAGTATTTTTAAATTCAACCCGAATCATGGTTAAACTGGTTTAACCGATGATCCGATAATTCATTTTGATTTTTAAATATCCATATTAAAAAATCACTAAAACCCGAGACTAACCAATTGAACCGATAGATAACTGATATGAAATATTTAAACCTATAAAAATAATTTTATTTTTGTTGTTTTATATATTATTTTAATTTTTTAATTTATCCAAATAATTTGAAAGAAAATTGTGAGAAATTATTAAAAAAGGGTGAGATATAATATTGTGTATTGTCTAGACATAAGATTAATTATGGTGTTGTTTGGAAACATAGATACTAATATAAAGAAATGAGTAAATTGTTTGGAAACATGGATAATAGTATAAAAAGTAAATATATTGTTTGAAAACATAGATAATAGTATAAAGAAAGAAATATTAGTGATATAATGTAGGTTTAACTATAAAGTAAAATGCTGTATATAATTTAAAAACTTACAAAATAAATATTAGGTATAACTTAATGTTTCTGATTTAATAAGATATATTTATCTATTCTCGATTTCGGACAGCTTCGAACAAGAGTAGCATAGAATATTTTCGGACAAAAGTATCTCAGCAATTGATTCGAAGATATCAAGCGACAAATGTAGCAATCGATTTTAACAACGAACAATAACTTTAGTGGTTTGGACAACTAACCAACATGAAAGAACTATATATTGTGAACGACACTGACATTCAAATGATCCAAGAGAAAGTGTTTGATGCCTACGTATTCGTATTTTCATTTTCCTTTGGAAGAGGAAGGTTGACAAAGATGGATGAAGCTCATCGGGCAAACCACTTGACTACCTAACCTGCTAAACCTTTTAACTCATCGACAACACAACACCTTTAAAATCAATACTTTCAGTGTGTAACTCTTTGTTTATACATTAAATTTGTAAGTTGTGGCTGCTGTGGATGATAATTTCAGTCCACCGAATCAACAATTAACAATAGTGAACAGAAAAGGATTAGTAACATTAGGGGTGGGCACAAGCCAAATACTTGTCATTTTTGGCGTACTTGGTATTTGGCTTGGCTTGTTCGAGTAATACAAATTTATATTTATATTTGATTTATTAAAAACAAGTACTTGCAGTTTCAAATACTTGCTAAAAAATGGTATACTTACAAGTACTTGCTTCATTTTACTACTTGTTATTTCTAAACTAATTTATAAATTATTATATAATTATTTTTAAATTATTTAATAATATTATATTAATTTTAGCTACTTAAACCTTGTATATAAATTTAACAAAAAAATTAGTTAGTTATAATTATAATCTAAACAATTTTTAATAAAGAATATTTATTTACTTTTCATATGTTTTAAATCAATATATGATAAATATAAAATTAAAAGAAAACTCTAAAATATTCTATAGAATATATCACTTTTAATTCATTTATTTTATAAACAAGTAATCTGATTATAATTTAGAGATTTTTTTTGTCTAAAAGTAAAAAACGGGTAATAAATCAAGTACTAAGTCACGAGTAACAAGCCAACAACGCTAAATAGTTATTTTCATTTTAGTACTCACTACAAGAAAACTAAGCCTTTACTAGGAAACTTTATTAGGAAAATAATTCCTCGTAAAATACTACGAGTTTACTTCGAGTTGACGAGAAAACCACTTTTCCTCGTAAAGTTCTCGTAAACTTACGAGAAAACAGTTTCCTCGTACTCGTAGTAAACTTACGAGGCCCTTACGAGGAAAAAGTTATTTTCCTCGTAAACTCATAGTAATTTTTTTCCTCGTAAAGTCCTAGTAATTGTTTACTACGAAATTAGGAAGAAAAGATTTGTTACTACGAAATTAAGAGGAAATAGATAGAAAATATCGAATTTAAATCAAAAACGTGTTTTGTACCTACTTTTCCTAGCAATTTCCTAGTAAATTCTCAGATTCGAAAATTTCTATAAATACCGCCATATGTGATTCATTTGAAACACACCAAAAAAAAATCAGCTATAAGCTTGATCAAACACAAAAAAAAATGTCCGGTCCGGGAAATATTTTCGAGTTGCGGAAGTGGATGTATTCACACAGAGATAATAACGGGAGGGTGACGAAAGAATTTCTCGAAGGGTTGGAGACGGTTATGCATCAAGCAGATTCTACACCACTCACGCAGGAAAGTGGTAAGATGTTCTGTCCTTGTCGGGAAATGTTGCAATACCAAATTAGGCCCTCGTGAAAATGTTTGGAAGCATTTAGTAAATAGAGGTTTCATGCCATATTATTATATTTGGTATCAACATGGAGAAGATGCTAGTTGTAGGAATGAAGGTAGCAGTAGTAATAGCAATTTTCAGATTGAACCGGTTGAGCATTTGCGTAATGAAGGTAGCAGTAGTAATAGNCAAATTAGGCCCTCGTGAAAATGTTTGGAAGCATTTAGTAAATAGAGGTTTCATGCCATATTATTATATTTGGTATCAACATGGAGAAGATGCTAGTTGTAGGAATGAAGGTAGCAGTAGTAATAGCAATTTTCAGATTGAACCGGTTGAGCATTTGCGTAATGAAGGTAGCAGTAGTAATAGCTATCATCACCAAGAGAAACAAATGGGAGATTGTGATAGGGTTCATGATATGGTAGGTGATGCCTTTGTAACTCATGATGATGATGAAGTTGAAGAACCTAACTTAGATGCCAAAAAGTTTTATGAAATGTTAGATGCTGCGAATGAGCCAATTTACAGTGGTTGTAGAGAAAGTCTGTCTAAATTGTCGTTGGCTGCTAGAATGATGAGTATTAAAATCGATCACAATCTACCTGAAAATTGTATGGATGCATGGGCTGACTTGTTTAAAGAGTATTTGCCAGAAGACAATGTGTCTGCTGAATCTTATTATCAGATTCAGAAATTGGTATATAGTCTTGGGTTGCCCTCGGAGATGATAGACGTTTGCATCGACAACTGCATGATTTACTGAGGAGATGATGAGAAGTTAGAAGAATGTCGATTTTGTAAGAAGCCACGCTTCAAACCACAAGGTCGAGGGCGTAATAGGGTACCGTACCAAAGGATGTACATCCACATTTCGCTAGCAATAGCCGGAATGTGTATCTTGGATTATGCACTGTTGGATTTAGTCCATTTGGAATGTCTGGGAGACAATATTCATTGTGGCCGGTCTTTCTTACACCGTATAACTTGCCACCGGAGATGTGCATGCGACGAGAGTTTCTATTCATGAGCATATTAATACCTGGTCTAAAACATCCAAAAAGATCTCTCGACATTTTTCTACAACCATTGATAAAAGAGTTGCAAGATTTGTGGTCAACAGGGGTGAGGACATATGATTGTTCAACGAAAAGAAACTTTACGATGCGAGCGATGCTTTTGTGGACCATAAGTGATTTTCCTTGCATATGGTATGTTGTTTGGGTGGACTACACATGGGAGATTAGCTTGTTCGTATTGTAATGGAATGACAGATGCGTTTCAGTTGAAACATGGTAGGAAGACTAGTTGGTTCGATTGTCACCGTCGATTTCTTCCCATTCACCACCCATACCGAAGAAACAAGAAATTGTTCAGGCACAAAAGGGTTGTCAGAGACACTCCTCCTCCATATTTAACTGGAGAACAAATCGAAGCGCAAATCGATTACTACTGTGCTCTGGAAACAGCTCCTCGTGGTGGGNGTATATTTTGGGAATTGCCATATTGGAAAGATCTTCTTTTGCGCCACAACCTCGATGTGATGCATATAGAGAAGAAATTTTTTGAGAACATCATGAACACTATATTGAATGTCCCAGGGAAGACGAAAGACAACGTAAAATCAAGGTTGGACTTACCCGATATCTGCTCAAGGAGTGAGCTACATATAAAAAGCAATGGACAAGTTCCATTTCCAATATTCAGACTGTCATCAGAAAAAAAGTCTGCGTTGTTCAACTGGGTGGCTTCAAAAGTGAAGTTCCCTGATGGGTATGTTTCAAATCTCTCAAGATGTGTTGAGAAAGGGCAAAAGTTCTCCGGGATGAAGAGCCATGATTGTCATGTCTTTATGCAGCGACTACTTCCCTTTGTGTTTGCGGAGCTACTGCCGGCAAAAGTACATGAAGCACTTTCAGGTAATTAATTAAT